AAATTTAGCTGCTGTGACAATTGATCAGAAAACAACTAATAAAAGATCTACTTTAAGTGTATAATCCCTCATAAAAGCTCCAGGACTGAATAAACTCTCATTTAACCCTTCCTTTCATGTCTGTCGAGGTATTTATCACTTTACAACAAGTTTCTACTTACACTCATACGCATAATTATGCTGACGACCGATATACAATGCGTTCGAGAGGAGACTGACAAAAAAAGACTTTATCGCAATCGCTTGTACATGCATCATAGTGAATGGACACGCGTTAACACGTAACTTGTATCTGATTGAATAAAAACTATAAAGACAATCATAAGTATCACACAAATGATATATCACTCAAAAAACGCTTCTGCTTTGCTTGCAGTTGCTCGTGAAAAGGAAGTAGAAACAAACCTGAAATTGGATCAGTTCAACAGTCAGACCAAATCAACGCTCATTGCAGATTCATTCAGTACTTTGCTCAAATGATCTCATTCATTATGATTCATTGTCAGTTATTTTGACAGACCAATAAAAATCGATGACTGAGCATTTTCAGATTTAAAAAAAAACTGTCAGCTCGAGCTCACGCAAGTTTTACTCAACTTCATCTTGCTTGCTCATTCTTAATCCTCCTCCTTATCATTGCTCGAAGAAACTGTTTAATTTTCAGACAAAATGAAGCATTAAACTTAAACTGAATCATTTCTACTTATGAATCAATTAAGATTAACCTAATTCATGATCATATGTGCTCTGCAAAAGATTCGTAATCCTCTTGTATCGTCGGCTAGTTAACAGGCGGAAGATCCTTTGTGAAAATTTGATTCATCAATATTTTATGCAAGCGACAAGGAGGTAACACTCATATCATTGGCTGATTTATAAACTGTATTAAAAATTACGAACTGTCCATTGTGCTAGTAGAAAGGTGGATCGGATGGACGTTCCAGTAAACGGGTTCTGAACATACTGAGAATGTACCCTTCAGTTACTTCAATCGACGAATCCTCTCATTTTAATACAGGTATGATTAATAAGAAACAGTATCAATGAGGTGAACTGCTAATACAGAAGTTTTCGGCGAGGAGTGTTGGTGTCCGTTTGCAGACAAACCAACAACTAACCAAATAACCACGATCGTATTTTTCATTTTCGTTAGCAGGAAAGAAATTCGGTGCTGGTTTCTTCTTCTCAACGAACACATCGTCGTTATTGAGACCAGCCAACGTCTGAAATCACCACCAAGCAGTGATATGAATCTCTTTCACCGAATTTCAATCCACCATTCATTCTTGACCTAAACTCTCGTATCTCCCCACATATGCGTTTCAATTCCTCCCATTTTACTCACTCTAAATATTGTCAACTTCAAATAATACCTTTAAACTATAAATAGTTTTCAGAATGGAATATTTCAGCAGCCGAAAACTTTTCAATATGTTCCAAGTGAAAATTCTGTGCAACAGTCAAACTGATGACAACGATAGCCATTAAAACCTGATAGTTCGGATCGAA